GGGAAAGAAGTTTGGAAAAACTTGGATTCACTATCAGGAGTATGTCATCTTTTTTGACAGGTGGTAATAATGAATTCGATAATTTAGATACTGTACAATAAAATGGGACAGCTCTTGGAGGTGTACATAACTCAGTGAATTAATTTTTTCCAAGAAACCAATACCTGAGATTACAGAAAACTAAAGATAAATAACATATCAACGAAGTGCAGCTTTTCTATTAAGCCAGACATTAAAGAGAACTTAGTTGCAAAATGTAAAACAATGCTGCTATTTGTATTTTTATCTAAAAATGTGGAACTACATTTATTATAGTACTTAAACTTTTCCTCTCATCTTTAATTTCTAATATGGTACAATGATTTAAAAAGGTATATGGGCCTTGCATTTTTAAAAAATGTTGTTAGGAGCAACATTTTTGGGGGGAGGCATAGGTTTTTGCTACAGGGCATGTGTGCTGGCCAGAAAGAGAGACAGAAACAGAAAGCGAGAAATCACCTCCTAGGCGGGATTGGTCACACTGCAGTCCCTTCTTCATTCTCTTCTTGGGATCTTGGGCAGGCTCGCACACATGCCCAGTGTGAGTTTAAGCACTGGGTCTGAGACTCGAACCACGGTCAACTACAGGAGTTCAGCAACATAGCCATTATGCTAACTGCTGGTCCCAACAACAGCATTCTCAAGTTTTATTTATCACGGTACAATCATTTCTTTGTCAGAATGGGCATACACACAGATTTTGAGGGATGGAAGTGCTAGCACGCAGCACATAGTAAACAAATGCCTGATAAATGACTGGATGGTGTTGTAAATGATTCCTGGTGTGGGTAGCTAGGACAGGGAGCACGTTTTAGAAAAGTATGTGTGTTGAGCTTTATGTGGGATATAATGTTAGGTATAGCAGGCAGTTGGAAATTGAGCATTTGGGTTCAGGATAAATTAAAATACCTCTTTTTTCCCCCTTCCTTTTTTTAAATGCCAGAGGGCATGTGTGTACAGTAGAGGGAAAGCACTGAGTCTTACATGGCCTGCTCACTTTGCAATCCTTCCATTACTGCATCCCATTAGGCCAGAATTCAAAGAGCAGTCAGCCATGTGGGAACCAGTCCACGCTATACAGCACTTGACCACTGTGCTAAAGGGATGGCCCAACTGTTTTCCCCCTTCTAATAAAGACTACTTGAGATATATATGTACATTTGTGTATAAATAAACTCATGGAAATGCTGTGACTTCACAACTGATTAGCAAACATGTTAATCTTGAGGGAAAAACATAAGGCGACAGGGGAGGCCTATTAGAAACATGTAATAAGTTCTTTTTATATTGTGTACATTTTTTTTAATCTGGTATATGGAATTATCTATGGAGCTCTTCCTGAGGTTTTATGTGCCAAGGTACAATAATTAAATTTCTTTTTATTTTATTTTTTAAAGAATTATTTTATTTAATTTTATTTATTATTATCATTATTATTTTTCAGTTTTGATCAGAGAGATACAGAGAGAGAGAGAGGGAAGTGAGAAAGCAAGCCACCAGGTCCTAGACTTGAACTGTGGTTGGCCATGTGGGAGTCTAGCACCCTTAACCACCATTCTACTTGCCGGCCCCAATTTCTTTTTATTTTTTTAATGTCGGAGGGTGCATATACATGAGAGAAAACATTCTATCCCTCCAACAAGACCTAGTTGCACTGCAGTTCTTTTTCCCCAATTCTCTATCCCTACAGGATCCTGGGTATATATGTGCCTATGCCCAGATGGTTTTCAAGCCTTAGGGCTGAGATTCAAGTCCTTGTTGGCAGTGTGAGATCTAGAAGCACTTAACCTCTGTGATAACAGGGCCAGCCCTGATTTTTTTTTCCCCTCATACAATTTTAACTTTCACTGTATCTCCACTGAATTTCACCCATGACATATCATTCACTGATGAATATTAAGCACTACTGTGCTTTATTAGGTACTTCATAAATTCCTTTTGGGATCAGCAGATGGCATAATGGTTACAGTGCTGGACTCCCAGATGGCTGACTATGGCTCAAGTCCCAGACCTGGAGAACTGATACTTAAGCTTGGCGCTTGTGCATGGATGCCCAAAATCCCAAGAGGAGAATGGAGGAGATGGGACCCTGCCTCCTAGGGAGGTGGTTTCTTGCCTTCAGTCTCTGTTGGTGAGCACACATGTCCTATGGCAAAAACCTCTCTTAAAATGTGTATGAATATAAATATATATATATATATATATACACACACACACACAATGCGCACACACAAACATATATCCTTTTTTTTTTTTAAAATACATCAATTTACTTTCGTTCCTCACAGTTGAGATCTGCACCTGTATCTGACATTGATAGGCTGGGGCCTATAGGGCTGGCAGTTTTCTGAAAGCCTTATTACCATTAAAAGAAATAAGTATAACCATATGTTTCCTTTATAACCACTCTTAACAAACTCACTCTTAGGAGATGCCTATCTGCTTCTCATTAAATTATCTTAATGTTTACACAATTTCTTCCCACCAGACAGAATATTTTGTCTATAATTCAGTCATTTCACATTGTAGATTCCCTTCTCCACCTTTTCATGTTCCCTTGATCCAGGAGACCTACTCTGAAGGTTAAAAAAAAAAATCAAGATTATACAACTAGTAGCCAGCAATGTCATGTATTGATATAATTTGATTCAAAGTTTTCTGAGTCCTAGCCCATTTTCTATTCCGAGTCATCAGATTATAAAACACTACACTAGGGAAGGAGATGGCAAACTATAACCCACTCTTTGCATCATTTTAAGTCAGTCTGGTTATGTTTTTATTGCAGTATTTAATAGGATTAAAGCTATGATGAACCAAGAACAAAATTGATTTATTTACTTAGAAACTACACTAATGCAAAAATACTAGTTTTCTTTTCTTTTTCTTTTTTCTTTTTTTGGTTTAACTAACACTACATGCCAGCCTGAAGTTTAAATGCTTTTTTTTTCACCACGGGAGAAAAGCTGTTTTATGCTCAACCCATAAATAATGCAGCTATACATTGTGATAATGGTAAAAATGTCAGTCTAGGATATAGCTTTTATAAATACCTTATTTCCAATTCATTCTCAAGTGTAAGGTAGTGGATCAGAGAAACAGATGAGGATCATTAGCGATGCTTACACTAAGTGAACTCAGAAACAAGTGCTGGGTCCTTTTACTCTTAAATTGAGACATCAAATGGTACTGAGTAGTGCTACTGCTAATATGACACTGGAAATTAAACTGAATACATAAAGGATTCCACATAAAACCTCAAGTACTCTTTGTCCCAAAGAAGCACCATTTTCACACAGACAATATTGGGATAATGTTATTCTCCACAAAACTCAGTAAGGACTTGCTGAAACAGCAAAAGCAACTCAATGTGAACAACGATCCAAGAGAAAACAAGTAAAAGACTCATGAGTCCTAACTTAAAAGATTTTCAAAGATACATCCTTTTTGTTTTTCCTAGTCTTTTTAAGAAAACAACAAAAAAATATTTTCAACAAGTTTATGCTTGGCTTTGAAAAGTTACACACTTATATATACCAAAAGAACAGAATTATTCTTAATTTGGCTTACTGGTCCCATACCTCATCTACCAAAGTA